TAGAAAACTCGGTATAATTTGATAGCTCCATATCTTTCGAAAGCTATCGACAAATTTCTATAACTTTTTACACACTGGTAACCCGATAAAATTCGATAAGCAGTGATAGCTCGATAAACTTACATAACTCTGAAATTTCGATAAATTGATATATAGTGAAAATTCCAAGAACTTCGATTCGATAAAGCGACAAATTTCAGTTATTAAATAAATATCAATAAGTCGCTAATTTGAAAGAGCTCGATGCATTACGATAACTCGATAAATTTCGTTAGCTCTATAAATAATGAAAACTCAATAAATATCGATAACTCGGTGAATTTCATTAACTTGGCAAATTTCGATAAACCCATGAGTTCTTTAGCTCGATAACGATCCGTAAATTTCGACAACTAAGGTTCATTTCGACAACTTAGTAAGCATTGATCAAGTTGAATAATTCGATACGTTGCGCTAAATAAATAAACATGGATAACTCGATAATTGTCGATAACTATAAACCTCGATGATTCGTTAAATTTAGGTAACTTGATATCTTTCGATAACTAACTTTTATGACGGAATTTATTTCGATTCCTATCGAAAAATTTCAATACATATTCTTACGCTGTCATTTTTACATATTTATCATTCTTTTAATTTTCGTCTTTATCTTCAATTTTGCCTTCACTCTTTTGAATTAAACGTTTTTGTCGTTTATTTCTTCATAATTAGATTTATTTTTATTACAAAGTTTAACTTCAAATACGAAGTAAAACAAAATGCGAAAACAACTCAAATTGAATAGGTCGCAACAACAACTATACACAAATACGGAAATTTTTAAACGACGATTTTGGCCGTAATTTTCAATAATTAGTAAACCATAAAAACTTTCCTCATTTACAAAAAAATTCCTTTCCAATGGTGTTCTCGGTTTTGAAAAGGATTCGGTGGAAACGCCAGAAGCAAAGTGACAAACCTAGAAGATAATTTAGGTAGGCCTTCCTAAGTGAAACCATTCTAAAAAGCCTACCCAGGCCTAGCTTCTAGAAGGTCTTTTTCTATTTGCAATATACGCGAATGCCTTCAATTGTGCCACTCCATACAAAAGACAAAGGAGAAGGGACTCTCAAGAAGTCCTTTTGGAAGTGCTTTTAGCTCCTGAAATTATCTACTGGGAAATTTATGTTATTAATATATACATACATATGTAGATGCCAAGTAAATTATCTTTGTACTATTGAATGCGTAATTATTGAAATAGATATTTTGTCTAAGCTCTTATAATTAATGCTAAAAATAAACCCTCACAAAAATTTCCGAGATTCACCAAAAGAAAGATTTCCTTTCAAAGGGACCGCCAATGATATCTTTTCTGGTGTGCGGCCCGGCTCTCCACGGCTCTGAGCTGCGACAGCGCTTCTACAGTACCATACAGACAGAGGCCAAATTGTCAAAGAGGCATCTTGGGCAAGAGTGAATTAAGAAAATAATATTAAACAATAAAGATAAAAAGAAACAGTGGTATAAAGGGTGCGCTACCAAAGCGCATTTGTGTAGCCAAGCAGAGAAAAATTACTACGCTGTTGATTTTACACTCTTCATAATGAGAATAAAAACCTGTAGAAAATGGAAACTCACCTGTTAACATAAAAACATACATAGTAGTTGTGTGTGTAGAGCCACGAGTATACAAACATACATTTTCTTACAACTAAGCACATCAACACATACAAATAGTTACAGTCTTATAAAGCTTTAATACCACACTGAAATTTCGTTTCTTATGAAACTTGTGGCAAAATATATCGTTAACGAGAATCCGCAGAAGAAAAGTAGCAAAACAAAAAAAAAACAAAGAATAAAAATGTATAAAATAAAGCCTTCATGCTTTTCCGCTTGTCTCAGTTCACAAGCGTCGCAGCTACCTTTACTCTAAGACAGTTTAGCTTGTATAAAAGTTCAAGCAAATTATGCGCAACGCTTAAATGGACTCACAAAAGTTTTATGCTTTCGTTATACTTTGTAACTTGTTTATTAGCGGTAAAAAAAAACTTAAAATATGGTTGTGCGGTAAATTTAGCAGCCAGCCAGAATTTTCTCTTAGGCATGCAAACACTGAATAAACGCATAGTCAACACTTATAGACATTATAGTGGTGGCTAACTTACGAATTCGCTGTAGTAATAGGGGCGTTAAGCACCAGACATATTTTTGCTGGTGGCTTATGAATTTAAGCTGATATTTAAGGCGGCTAAGTAATTTATCATTAGATGAGAGTTGAGCGTTGTTTTACATTGCCTCATAACTTTCGCTTGGCAGACAGAATAGTTACTCCTTCGAAGAACAAATTAAATATGTGATTTCAAAAGTTTTGCTTTTAGTGGCAAGCATAATAAACTTTCCTATAAAACTTAAAGTTTTTGAGCGCTTTTTAATATGACATCTTAAACTACATACAGCTTTGGCAATTGAAGATTTGAACGTTGCGTGGGAAAAAGTTTCCGTACTCGACTTACGTAATTCTTTAAAGAGTCCATACAAATGCGTTAAACTTGACTTTGATGCTTATGATGATCACGCTGATCAAGTGGAGTGATACAAGATTTGGACACTCTAGTATTTTGGAAGATCTTCCAGGAAATTTCAGGCGCCTTGACTACACAGTCCGGCCTACTGGACTAAAGAATCATATCCTAACAAAGATCCCCTCAAGGGGTGAGTGGCAGGAGGATTCAATACTGATCTCTTACTCTGACTCAGCAGCCATCTACACCGATGGCTACAAGCTAGATCTGAAGGTAGGAAGTGGGATATATTCGCAAGAATTCTCACTTAGCCTCAGTTTTCTTCTCCCAGATTAGTGTAGCGTTTTTCAGGCTGAACTAACAGCAATCTACGAAGCTGCTAGATGGCTGATCGATTCTCCTACTAATCTACACGCAGTAATGTTTTTTTGCTGATAGCCAGGCAGCTATCAAAGCACTTAATTGTGACAAATCTACATCGAAGGTTGTCATGGAATGTAGACGTACTCTAAATGAGCTGGCAAGGAGTTACTTTACTCAAGTTGTATGGGTACCAGGTCATAGGGACATATCGGGCAACTGTGTTGCGGACGAACTGGCTCGGAAAGGAACCCTACTGCCTGCGATCTGTAGCGCTCGTAATGCGGGTATTCCGCTATCATCCTGTAAACTTTGGCCGCAGAATAACTTTATCGAACGGGCAAATGTAAGATGGTCCGCGGAGCGCACGTGCAGGATAGCGAGACACATCTGGCCTAGGCTAGATAAGCGTAGATCTCGCCCTCTCTGCCGTTTGGAGCGACCAATGGCCCGCCATGTTATTGGAATTCTCACCGGGCACTGCCTTATGAGAACTCACGCTGCCAAGATGGGTTTGCAGCCTAACGATTACTGTCGGAACTGCCGCTATGAGGAGGATATCAAGAGCGTGGAGCATTACCTGTGCCACTGTCCCGCTTTGGCAAGTGCTCGTCGACGCTCGCTCCTTCGTTATTCTTTCGAGTGTCTGGTTGAACTGGTTTCGGCCAGTATCTACGCTTCATCAGAGCTAAAAATTGGTCCAATTTCTGAGGTAGGAGGAGGGACGCTAGGAGTCTCAAATATGGTATCACAATAGGCCCATGAAGGCCTATGTGTGCCCAATTCCTCTACGGATGAGGGCATCCAGGAAACCTAACCAACCTACTTTGGTGCTTAAGCGTTGGGCCATTAAAGTGCTTAAATCAGGGACCGTAATGATGTTTGTAATGTAACCTATGCTTAAAAGGCTGTTCCGCGGTAGTTGGCGCGCATGGCGGGATCGCCTTTCTTCTGGATTGGGAAGGGCACACTCAAATTTCAGTCGTCGGGCATGCGTTCATCTGACCATATTCTGCATAAGAAGTGATGCATACACCTTAACAGCTCTTCGCTGCCGTACTTCTTTAATAGCTCGGCTGGCAGAGCGTCAGCTCCATAATCAGGCAGTGGGACATCGACTCCATCGTCATCGAAGTGTTCCCTCCATACTTTGAGTACGTTCTAGACATCAGTCTCTAGGTCGCCATGGTTGTTCTTACAGGAGTTCGCCCTGGTCTTGAAACCTTTTCTAAGTCGCCTACCTCTCTGATAAAATTTTTGGGCGTTTTCTTGTCGGCCAAAATCTCAAACTCTTCGCACTCACGTATTTCGGCCTCTCTCTCTTCTTATTGCGGTGATTTTAAGCTAAGTCCGACCAAAAACATGGATGCTGGAAATAATTCGAGTTTTCTATTGAATAGGCTTATGCTGAGGCCACGCGCCTGAGCAAGACCCTCTGTAGATATTCCAGTATTTTTAAGGAAATTAATCACAGAAAAGATGGATGTAATTTTTTATAGTATTTAAATAATAAATTAAATAAGTTGCTATTTAAATCGAATATCCTCAGAGTTTTATCGCTAACTTTCAATCTTTCTTCTGCCTTTCAGATTTTGTTCAACATGCAACGTTCTAAATGACGAACACACGGATAAAGGACGGATAGCGCGGGATGTATCAGTTTAATTTGTGATATTTGCTTTTCTAAGTTAAAAATGTACGTTGTGCTCAGATAAGCTTTAACTATTCGTATAAGTGTACGTGTATTAGTGAACTTATTTACATTTGGCGTCTATCTTTACACACAAGAATATATTTGTATATATACATATATTTATGTATCCTTCTTTACAAACCTTACATACTCACGTATTTGTTGTAATTGAATTATTATAAAAAAAAAAAAACATTTTATGATTTAAATTTTAGTTCAACAAATTTTGAGTTTAGCTGCATTGCAAAGCAAACGAAACCAAAAAAGACAACAAATATAATTGAGAAGACCTACTGCAACTTAAAAAAACTTCATAACCACAAAATAAGAATAATACCGATTATAATAAATAGATCATATAAAATATTACAATTTACTTTAAGTACTAACCGAAGACAAAGTGATAAATAAATTTTAATATTACAAATAAAATCACTAATCCCACAAAAAAACATCCCACCGAGCGTATAAAAGACAAATACCATACCGCTTCTAAAGCACAGCGTTCCCAACGAATTACGATTCGTTATAAAACTACAGTTACATTGACTGATTCGCCACTGTGAAAGCAGAGTGTATGAGATTCGCTGAGTCACCATGTCACATGGGGGCGGCCAGGAATGTTTGTGATATTTCCAGCTGATGAACTCATTTTGATGACATACGGTCCCGCAATACCGCGTCTAGCTTCACGACCAACACTCGATTGCCTGCGCGAACCAGAAGTGCCCATTGAAGTTCCACCAAGATCATTACCGCCATCATCCGCGGCCGCCAACGCCACTAGCACCGCTGCAACAAATAACAAAAAACGAACAGCAAGCTTCAGTAGAAGTGCAACAAAAGCGGCCAACACCACCACTGCAGCAGCGCCCGATTCATCACCGAGGTCCGTCGTCAATAGCGGCGAGCTCTCCGCTGCGCCAGTATTCACCACCGCCTTCACTTACGATCCCGCAGCGCCACCACAGTCGAACACATCGCCAATCGCCTCGAACTCTCTGCCACCGACTCCGAACCGGCGCACATCGCGCACATCCCTAACGCACTCTGCCTCGGCGGTGCCCAACCCAAACGCAACCCCCTCGAAACGCTCCAGTGAACGCAGCAACAAAAGCGCGCGTAGCTGGCAACAGCAGACACCACCCCGACAGCAGCCACTGCAGCCATCGCCACAGTTTGCACCGAGTCTGCAGCAGCAACAGCAACTACTATTACTACAGCAGCAACAAGAGCTGGAACAGCAACAGCAACAGCTTTTACTACAACAGCAGCAGCAGCAAGAAGAGCAGCTACTCAAGCATCTGCAACTGCAGAAGCAGCAGCTGCAACAAAAGTTGAAGCAGAATAATATTTCACCTCGCAACACTTTGCCCAATACAACAACAACAACAAGCACACAGATGCAGAACAATGCGGCCGGCAGTTCACAGTCGCTGCAAGGCCGACCGGGTGGCCAAAGACCTACACTCGAGCGTAGCACAGCCGTGCGCGGCACAACACCGCAACGTGGTATGACGCCACAGCGCGGTGCAACATCGCAGCTCAGTCACGAATATGATCAAATGGATGAGCATGCTAGCGGCGGCGCATCGCTTGGCAGTGGCGGCGGTCAGTTGGTCGGTGCGCGCGATCGCAGCCCAAGCATATTTCTCGAGCCACCCTCACCTGATCCGACCCAGATCGTTTACGGCCCAGGTTGGGGTCGACCCATGTCGCCTATGAATTTGCCACCTGAACCGAAACCCAAGTCGCCGACGCCGAGCAAATCATCACGTTTGCGTCCTAAATTGCACCTACCACTCGGTCGCCTCGGTCGCTCTACCTCAACAGATCAGCGTGAATCAAATCGGTTGAAGGAAGATTTGCAACTACTTGTGGACAATCCAGTATTTAATTGTGAAAATTTACGGCAACGCAATTTCGATGCGTTCTTCGAATCGGGCGAACCAAAGTATAAGTTGCAGCCGAAGACGCCGAACTCGGCGCCGACGGGGTCGCTGTCTAGCGCCAGTAGCCAGTATTCGCCACAAATGGAACCGCGCAGCCGTGAAGGCGGTGGTGGACTGTTTGCGCCCTCGCCCAATGAAGGAAAGATGGCAATGAACTCGCGCCAGCGCTCCGCCGACCAGCCTGAGATGCCGAGTCGCGACAGACGTGCGGCGTCCGTTAGTAGTGGTGTTGTGCCCCAGAAAGGTGACAGGTGCCCCCAAAACACAAATTTTTTCACAATAACTAATCAAATTAAGATTTACAGTTTTGCAGTTTTAAGCGGCTTTTCTAAAAAAAAATATAAAGCAAAAAAATAGAAAATTATAATTATAACAGCAATTAAATTTAGAGAAATGAAAAGCGGCTATAACCAACGAAAAAATTGCAGAATTAAAAATGTATAAAATGTTTACAAAGAGAATGACGTGAATGCAACAAAATGAATTGAACAAAATTGGAACGACATGAATCTAACCTCAAAATTTGTTAACGTTTTATTTTTAATTGCATGACAGTAGTTTTTGGATGTATTTATTTTTTTAGTGTTTTGTTTATGTTGCTTTTAGTTAGCATGTTTGTAATTAGTAGCTCAATAGTTTTTTGATTACGATTTTTGCTAATTGATTTCGTTTAGTTATTTACTTTATTTGAATTTGAAATACTTGCATATCTATTTTTTATTATTTCGACTTCATTTTCCTTTTTAATAATTCAAAATATTTTTCGCAAAAAAGGCTGGTTTGCAATGTTTACTCTTAGAAAAGGCAACTATTCGAACTTAATTTTTGGGAAAACATATCTATTTTCATGTATGTACATTAGGTCGTACCAGAAAAAAAGTTCGTCGTAGACACTTTCGAAAATTTTTTTAGGGTCGCTTCATATCTTCGATATTTACAGTCAAATCTTAAAGTGTATTACAGAATTTTAATGTATAATTAAAATTTAGTAAGTATTTACTGACCAGATTTTAGTTCTTACCACCTTAACGTACCACGCTAATATCTGCAAATTTAGGCTCTCTAAAAATAATAAAATTTTTACTAATGAAGTACTTTGATTATTCCAGTAGAACTACTTAAGCAAAATTGTTAATTGCAGAATATACAGTGGCGCTCTCGTAAAGAGAACACTTTTATTTTTTACAATATTCACAATTTTTTACGTACTAAATTTTTTTTCATTAGTTTTTCATAAAAAATATAGTAGATTCTCTAATATAAATCCTATAAGTCAAAATGTAAAACTTTTTGCAAAACTCAGAAAAATTTAACAAATTTCAAAAAAATTACGTTAAAATTTTCTACTTTTTTCTCAAAATTTTTAGAATTTTGTTAGGTATGCAATTATGTAGCCCATTTAATTTTAGTATAATAATGTGAAAATTCTGAAAAATCCCGTTGCTTTTTGAATTGTTTTTTTTTGTCGAGGGTGTTGCGCTTGTTCTTCCATATAAAAATAAATTTTGTTCATATATTAAATGGTTTGTGAATACTGTAATTAAGCCCAGTATACACACTATTTGTAGCTATGATTTTTCAACATAAACAAAATCTTATATTTATTACTCGTGCAACTTGCGGGGAAACTTTCATAGAAACAAAGCCTACAAAAATCGAAAACAGATCGATAAAAACACACTGTCCCAGCAATCTCGCTTCGGGGTTAGTTATCTGCGTACAAAGTTGATTGACGTGACTAGCACTGCAAAATTTTCAGGAAGTCTTTGTGGCAACAAACTTGACGATGTTTTTGTTGTGTTTTTCGGTATAATTGGTGTTGGGATGCCATTTGTCAAACCTCATACACTCGAAACAAATTGGCGATAGTCTCATTGTAGGAGTTTTTGTTTGCGTCAACAAGGTCTTGCACACATAAATACTCCCTGCTTCTTCACATGCAGTGGCTCAGTTGGTGGCCACTGAGGTGATTCAGTTGAATTGCAACATTGTCTAATATTTAGTCGTTGATGTTGCTGTAGCTGCTACTAGCGTGGCATGTTTTGCACGCATATTTCATAGTGTTTGCATTTGTACATACACTAGCCAGAATATGTTTCGGTACAGTGTTTTTTTTTGTGATATTTGCAATGTTTTTCGTAATAAATTTGTTTCGTTAATTTTTAATAGAAATATTCTGCATCAAATGGCATATAAATTAATGATTCAAAGTTTTCAAAAAAAATTCGAAAAATTTTCACCAAAATTGTCAACTTAAAAAAAATGTTTAGAATTTTTTGGGTTTGCAGTTTTGTAGTTCACTCAAGTTTTAAGAAGCTATAAACTATCGTTGATTTTTGAGAATTTTTTTTGGCTGATGATGTTGCTCATTTTCTCCATATAACGGATGCGTGATATTTTTTTTTTGTATGGGAAAAAATACCGAAGAGCGCCAGTAAAAAAATTCTCAAAAATGAACGGTAGATTACAACCACTTAAAACTTGCACTTTATTATACTCAAATTGAATGGGCTACAAAACTGCATACCCAAAAATTCTAAAAAATTTCGTTTTGTTTAAAAGTTGAAAGTTTGTCGAATTTTCCTAAATATTGTAAAAGCTTTGAATCATTAATTTATATGCCATTTGATGCAGAATGAACTTTATTTCTATTAAAAATTAACAAAAAAATGCATTACGAAACACATTGAAAAAACAAACACTGTACGGAAACATATTCTGGCTACTGTATATACATATGTACTGTATGCATAAGAACAAGCTAGCAACAATAATTGCCATAGGCGCCGAGGGGGTAGCCACCTCCATGGCACGCGGCGAAAACAGAATGGCGTTCAAATGCGATTTTCACAATGAAATTCAGCCATGTAGCTCGAGTGCGCGCACATGCAACACAAAATCAACATGCAATGTGCAACATGTAAGCCCTAATACTAGACAAAAAAAAAACAACGATGCACAACAATGTAAAACTCATAGCCATAACAATAACAGTGGAAACAAAAAGTTTTCGCCGAAATGAATTTTTATTGAAGTGACTTTCCGTGGTAAATGAATGAGTGAGTTAGTTGTGCGCGGCAATGCAAAAACAGAAAACAAAAATAATTTGAAAAGAAAAACAAAAGCTGCGATATAAAATGTTAAAATAAAATTCGTAAATTATAAGCAACCCCTTAGTTTGGGAAAACAATCAACATGCCCGGAGCGCGTGAATACAAGCGTCAGCGTTTTGTGTCAATATTGTTGTACATACACATCCGCCGAGGGTAGTAGATATGGAGCATGGCAGCATGACTGACCCGCACCGGTGCTAAGTACATACATACTTCCCAACGCAGCCAGCTGTTGTTGGTGCTTTTGTGCAAGGAAACATTTTAGTGCAACGTGCATTGCTATAGTTGCCATTCTAATATTCGCTATTCGATTTCGGGATTGCGGCATCAATTTTTTAACACATGCAAAAATAGTTTAGCTGGTTTATTTACGAGGGTTCTAAACCAGTCTGTAGAATTCGTGAATGTTACTTGCATCTAAAAATTTGACATTTTTAAGCTCTATTTCTGATGTCTAGAATCTCGCGCCACGTAATGGTAAAATGTTTGTTTATCTGTTTGACCTCACCAATCTCCGAAACTACTGAATGGATTTTCATGGGACTCTAACTGGTATCTAGCTAGCGACCTCGGACATAACATAGGGTATAAACAAATTGGATCTGACAAGCGGTGAGCGTTATAAAAAAAATATGTAATCGGCCATTTTGTGGTGGTGGACATTTTGGATTTGGAATTTTTGGTAGTGATGGATGGATGGGCTTAACCCCAGAATAAAATTTTAATAGAGTTTTCTTTTATCGAAATAATGTCAGGGCTGCCAAGCTTTCGTGTTCTTTTCTCAGCATCATCACAGCATATTGCGTGCTGTTTCTTTAAAATATTGCACTCTGGTAATGTTACCATATAAGAAAAATACATTTTTTTCGAGAAAACATCATAAACTCGGTTTATAGCGGCGACTTTAGTCAGCCTTCTGTGGAACGATCTATAGATTTAAAGTGGTTACATTGACGGCAAGTAGCAAAAATTTTTATATAAAAAACTTCTCGAGATTTACATCCCTAACATAAAAATACATACACATATGTAAATACAAACGTTCTTGCACCTTCACCAACAGTCTTTTTGCTCCATTTTCTTGTTGCTAAAAGTTAAAATTTTTATTGCTGTTGTTGTTGAGGTGTTTTCCATGTTGGCACTGTTATCATGATGGAAATTAATTTTCAAGTTTCCGAATAGCACTTTGTTGGTAAAACTATTGCTGTTGCATTTTATTGCCATTTTACCGAAGTGTATACTATTAACCTGGTTGTGGTGCAAATAAAACAAGTAAAGACGTATAAGTTTAGCTTCACTTCAACTTCATATACCCGGCGCACTTATTAAATATAGTTTTCTCAACTCATTGTGAACTGTTTCGACAATATGCTATATCAGTGCCATTGAATTAATTGGATTAGGTTTTGTAGAAATCGATAAATCGGTCACGCCCATTTTCCAAAAACCGTTATATGGGAGGTAGGCATTGTTATTGTTCGCTTCCGCCCATTTTTTTTTAATTATTCATTCTTTATTGTAGTTCAATCCATTTAAGTTATACTGTCTGGCAACAACCACCTTGGTAGGTACCACAGACACCAAATGCTGACACGAGAGTTGAACACGAGCTATTTGCTTAAGATTTCTCTGAGTGTAATGAATCAACTGCACACTTTCTTGTTGTTACAGTTGTTGTGAGTTGTGACTTTACGCAAATTACTTTGCTTTTCATAACTAACTAAGTTTAGTGCAATAGAAGACGAACGTTTTCATTTCCCATGGTATTCTTATTCCGTTTATATCTTGCTAGATTTGCAATTGTCATTTCTGTAACTTTTCAGAATAGGAATATGGCTCAATCCCAGGTGAAATGAAGTATGCACTTAGTAATTCTACTGCAAAGGTTATTATTACAAGTAGAAAACGAATGAGTACAGACAGGCATTTAATTATACATATACACATATTTACATACAAAATTAAGAACTCCTTTTATCCTAGAGTGAGTATGCTCATTTTCAAGCTCCAACGGTCGAACCCTTTGTGATAAAGAATTGACCAAGAGGGCCGTTTAGGGTTAAGTAAGGATCCCGAGGCTATCTTAGGCGTTTGGGGCTAGGAACTCGCTTTAGAGATACAAAATATCTTTCAGTTCGAAATGTCTCTTGTTCTTCCCACCCCCCCCTTAATTCACCTAACGAACTGGCTAAGCAACGCCATTTTAATCAAATGCAGTTAAAGAACGAATACCCAAACACTGTTAAAAAGTTCTATGGATTCTAAGACATATTAAACACATAATAAATATGAAATGTATACCTTTATCTGCATGGACATTAGGGTGGTCCAAAAATGCATGTGACAAAAGTAAAATCCGAATTTTTATAGCGCTCCCCTCCTAGTAAAATAAAATATGCCCCCGTTTTTTTTTTTTGAAACTAAAAAATATCTAGAGGTCGCTCTATGTTTTCCGTGTATTTTATATGGGTGAAACTCCATTTTTCATAGAAATGGTATCGAATTCTTGAAAATCAATACTTTTCGATCGGAAAACTTTGTTTTTCTTCAGAAGACTTCCAACAGTAATAATACCCAATTGTTTATTTAACCATCTTCTAAATTCAACTGTTGCGGTTGAAAAGCCTTCTCGGGTTTATAAGCAGGGAAACTAAGCGGATTACCTCGGATTAAAAGGAAATACATACAATTTGCTTAAACCCATTAAACAGAAGGGAATTAGAAAGGATGCCAAGTTTGACAGCTTAAAAACAGTGCTGCCAAACCAGACATATGCTTAAGGTCTAATTGCAAGTTACGTAATTGGGTATTATAATTGGAAGTATTCTGAAGAGAAACAGAGTTTTCCGATAGAAAATTTAGATTTTTAAGAATTCTATAATATTTCTACGAAAAATTGTTTTTGCCCATAAAATACATGGAGAACTTTGAGCGCTTTGAGCGAACTCTAAATATTTTAAGTTTAAAAAGGTGTGTATTTTTTGATACAGAACAATCTGAAGGGGTTAGAGCAATAAATTTCGACTTTGATTTTTTTGGGCCACCCTTATATGTACTCCGGTTGGGTTTAGTATTTAGGCTAGAATTTGTAAACATTTTTGTAACACACATTTTTGCGTATATTTGATACTAATTATCATTTAAATTTTCGAATATGAAGAAATAATGAGAGGAAAAGTATCATATTTATTCGCAGAAGTGAAGTAAGCAATAGATGCTCAACGCACTAAGTCGTAGAGGCTTAGAGAGTTAATCCGAGGAGGCAGGCCATTCGCATAGTAGCTGGAGTTCTCACCGCACGGTGTCTGATTGGATTACATGTCAGACTGGGCACACCCTGGAATGACTACTGCAGATTCTGGACGGTTGAGGACGAAGAAAAAAACCATCCCACATCTTCTCTACCATTGCCCGGAAAACGGAGAGCTAAAACTTTTGGCAGTTATTTCTTCAATAATCTTGATGATCTCAAGGCAAAGAATGTTAGAAGCCTTTTTAGCTAAGCACCAAGTGGTTCATAGGGGAAGGGGGATAAACGCAAAATTCGTGAGGTATCACAAAGGACTGCAAAAGACTGCCGCCCAACCTAGCCTAACCCTAACATCTTTTGGCTTGTAAGTTGTAGCTTACTAAGGAGTATCAAAATGGCTTCGGGTGTGAAATAACGAAATATACCATACACATTTTTGTTTTAGAGAACTTCGAAGATCGCTAGGATCCTAAAAATATTGCTTTATTGCAGTTTTAAAGTTATTTCGTTAATCTCCGATCATTTATGAAAATTTTAAGAAGTCTTGCGTTAAGGAAAGCCATGACCCTACTACGCTATTGGCGAATTGGGAAGCGCTTTTAGGTAGAAGTTTTTTAAAATAAGACCTCCTCTTCACAAGCTCTACACGTATTAGAAGATCTTCGAACATTCTTAATATTCGAGGCAGAGGAAACAAATCGCAGCAGAAGTGTTCGGGCTGTAGCTGATCTTAAATTAAATCTGTGCTGCGTCAATATGATTTTGAATTAAAAAATTAAAGACAGTGCTTCTTTATTGCTTACTTTGCCGACTGGTTGGGTTCCACATATTATATGGATGCTCCTCTGACCACGCGGCTAAGCGGCTGCCAATAAAAAGCATTGCTTGGTTTTAGATTTTCGTCGCGTACCTGTTATGCGCTGAAAATATAGTCCGAAGATATGTAGCAATATGAATTATTGATTAGTTTCACTCAAATAAAAACTTTCTAATGAGTGGACAAAAATAGATTTTTGCATTCACTTGTGCGTGATTCGAATAATCATATTTGCAATTGGACAATGAAACCAGAGAGAAATCAAAGCGTTCTAATGTAATTTTTTTCAATAGCATTCTCTTTGATAATTGTAAAAGAGCTTGGATTTCAGTTTATAAGAATAAAAAACTAAAAGTATTTACATACGTATTTTGTACGCGTTTATATAAAACCAGATATAAGTATTTATTTACAAACCGCTTTATGCACCACTTGCCCACGCAATTTAAATTGTCGACATTTGTTTGCCTTCGTCATTAAGAATTCATAACAAAATTAGAAGGAAAATGTCAAAGTTTATTTATAATTCTTAAACGGTCTGCTTCTCTTGACATTGCCACGCCACGACGGATGAGGGTACAAACAGTTAACATTGCATTTGCCTTGGAGTGCTGCAAGGATGCTTAGTTACGGTCATTACCGGTTTCTTGGTTGTATTTGCTGCTCAACGTTCTTACGCTGCTGAGATGCGCAATCTACTCGCTTCAGATTGACAGTTGTAAACAAGCGTAAGAAGCTCAATTGAGGCACTCATGAATAATTGATGATGCGCTATATTCCCGCCATAGCTGGTGAAGGGTGAAGCAGAGCGGCAGCCAGTAGCAGCAGACACTACCCTCGGCATGCATGACGGCGCTGGCTTTAATGTCAGTTGGTAGCTCGTGCAAAATTTTCCAATATTAGAAAGGCTATGTTTCAAGCTTATTTACCATAAAAGCTCCACGTTGCATGCTTCTCCATTTCGTTTTTAAAAGCCAAGGCATATGCAAATAAAAATTAAGAGTAAAAGCTGGGCCTTATTCTGTCAATGCCATATTAAAACCGAAATGAATAGGAAACGTGGAAATTAGTTGCTTGCGGACATATATACATACATACATATGTACATAACAGCGCTCGCAGCATTGAAGCTGACTGTTAATTTAACTTATAGAAAATTTGAAGGCGGCGCTTCTTTTACTTTAATGAAGAAGAGTTTTTTGTATGTTATGAGAAATTTAATATTTTACGCTTTCTTATGGTTTATGCAAACTTGCTTTACGCGCCATAAATTATTCTTTAATGCATGATATATTTTTATTTCTTTAGTTTGCCTTTTATGTTTGTAATTAAAAACTTTTTAAATTTTAGCATTTCTTTGGTTTTATTGAGTTAGTTTTTTTTTTTTGACTTTTATGCAGCTTTAAATTCGCAAACTAATAAATTATTTTTTCTTCATCATCAACATTCGCAGATTCTTCAGCAAAATCTTCAAGTGGTCGAAAAAGTCGTAGATTTTTTGGGTGGAGGGGACCACGTGGTGGTTCCCTTGGCCCACGGGCCGGTATGGCTTCCTATAATGGAGTGCTAAAGGATTACGGACACAGCAGTTTGAATGAGGCTTTCAAATCCCAAAACAATGTCAACTTTAAGTTAATCAAAACAGGTGAGTAGTGCGTGTATAAAGTAGGAAAATGTATGCTTTATTTTTTTGGAAAATATGAAAAATTTTTTATAGGAATGTTTGCAAAATTTTGCAGTATTCATTAAAAAAATTATATTCAACATACATTTATATTAGGGTGGCCATCGAATTTTTGTTTGGAAATTTCAAGACACCACCCCCAAATTTTATTCGGTTTTATGAGAAATATGATTGCCTATTTTTATAGATTTTTAAAGGACATTTAGAGGTCGCGACCTGTCGATTTAGGCCAGAAAATACAACTTTGTTGATTTATGAGTTTTTGAATGACTATTTTTGGTTCGATTTCAAAGATCGAATATGATCTGAGAAGAGAATATATAGGCCATTAAAATAATATAGTATAATAATCTATTGTCATGGCTTGTTGGGATTTGTCATCGGGTAAATTAAAAAAAGCCATATTTCTCTTAATTTTTTTTTTCAATTTTGATCATCGATAATTTCTAACCTTTAAAAAATCTATAAAAATAAGCAATAATATTTCTCATTGAAACAAACAAAATTAGGGAGTTGCGTCTTGAAATTTCAAAAAAAAAAAAACATTTTTGATGGGCACCCTAATGTACATATATGCCATAATTCGCTTGACATGGAATTTAATATATATATTGTGTACATTAGGGCGGGTCAACTTGTATGGGAAATTTTTTCTACTATTAGAAGGATTCTAAGTGTAATTCTAAGCAAATTTGCCGAAGAAACCATGTGTCTAAAATCAATTTGGCGTTTACCAAATTGCGAAAATGGGTTTCTTAGAATTTTGCAATATTGTCATAAAGAAGTACTTAAATTTTGTATAAAACCATAAGGAGTTTGTTTTTCGGTATAAGGAATCCATTTCTGCACTTATCTTTCTCTTAAAACTTCCACCAGGGTGGCTACAGTGAAAATTTTCACACTTGTTTTCGCAATTTGGAAAATTCCAAATTGATTTTAGACCTATGGTTTCTTCGAAAAATTTCCTCAGAATTTCACGTAGCATTCACCTATGCTATACGCGCATTATGAAAAAATTGTTTCGTCCTAACGTACATGTATTTTTTCCAGTAACATTTTTTCTTATATATTCTTTACCACAATTTCACAAACTACTGTTTTTTTGCGATTTCATCATATTCGAATTAAGTGTCGCTTCTTACTAAAATGTACTATTTGATTTGAAAGTTGTTGAAATATTGTAAGATTTTACAGTTAAGTAACAGTTGGGCTCAAATACATTCTTTTGAAAATTGCATATAGAAATTATTGAATATATGTTTGTTATAAGTGAAGCTATAAAGATGACCAGAAGTCATACGAGTAGTTTTAAAGCATTTAAAGTTTGAGGTATTTTTTTCCTAAAATTTCTTTTGGATGAATACAAACATATTTCTTAGACAATGTATATGTTACTGGCTAACCCCAATCTTAGGACAAAACTAGTTTCTCATAAACTAAACTAGTTCATATCCGTCCAACGCGACGCAGCAATATTGTGGACTGCCTAGCTGGAGTTGGACTGATGAGGGTTATTTTTTTGAAGTGCGGCCGAAGGGCCCCTACGTGGGTAGGTGTTTTGGGCAAAACTAGCTTGCCCTAAGACCGGGTTTGGCCGGTAACATATGTATACAGTTTTACAGCAGCAATGTGGTGCTACAGCGCGTATGCGTAACTTTGGGGATTACAAAAAAAAAGAGTTGTCTGCTATCCCATTTGAACTGTCAATTTCATGTTTCTTGTTCTTCCGCCACACCTTGTATGTTGCTCGCCCTTGCCATCACAATAGCAATCGCACTTGATGAATTCTATATAAATAAAGCAATGCTCTGAGGACACTCAATTTGTTAATATTTTGGCTCCAGAGCTGCAGCGCTTGGTCCCACATCAATTTGCCCATATCGATTCCCAAATATTAAATTTTACTCAAAATGTACCTTCGTCTATCTATATATGTAGATATACGAATACATTTAAAATCACACTTGTTCTATGTATTATTTAAATAAATTTATTGATAAAAACCCCAAACGACCACTGTCCTGAATTTGCCAAGCGGCAGTGTAGCAAGTGGCAAAGCTTAAAAGTAACTGTATGCCCAGAAGGACTGACAGTTTTACGAGTGGATATCGACAGTTAGCAGAGCAATTTGCGAATGTGGTCACTGGCGGCATTTGTGCTGAAATTCACTCACCATGAAATTTAAAAATATGTAAATATATATGTACGTAAGTGTGCAACACTCTCAATGCAAAAAAGAAAAAAAATCGGTGAAGTTTTTTCATCGAAATTATAATTTTTTTTTTATATTTTACATAAGCGCTCCGCCGAAATATTTTTTCGATTTACGTGAGCTGGACCAATTTGAAACTACCTTCAAAAATCGAATGTTTTATAAGTAGAATTTGATTTTATAGACTTTAAATTTCGGTGGAAAAACCAAACCTATTTTTGTTGTGGCATCATTTGTGTATAGGTAGTCAGCTACATTGCTCTGTAAAGTTAAATATTGGAATTTATAATTTTCTGGTTGTATTGCGGCAATAGCTTCTCTACTTGCCGCTGCCAAGCAAAATGGTTTCGATACTGTTCTCTACTTCTGCTCCTGTGTGATGCTATTGCAAGAAAGGACTCGACAACTAATGCCTTTGTGGCCCCCAGTAGAGAGCTAATGAAAGCTAGATTTCCTAGGAAAGAAAATTAAATTAAGGAGTTAAGAAATGAGAATATTTATCAAAATTAATATGTATCCACCTACCTTGCCTTGTTTCCATGTTATATTTTGAAGCTTGGGTAGCCAATTTCTCTGAAGATGCTATCCGCTCGAAATTGGGTCAGGGGTAACTCAGCCCTGAAATTTTTCATAAGTCAAGATGATAAAATGTCCGAGAGCTACAACACCAAGATTTCTGCGCAGGAGGTTTGCGTACCATTGCAGCTCTTTTGGCTCCAGAGGTAGCTCTATCGATCAATTAGAGTTTGGCCTCGAATGTGATGCCGAGTTATGTCACTTCTGAGGCAGTGTCGAGACCTTTAGTTCTCATTCACGGTAGGGGTCTTCTTTTTGTGATTGGAATGATGAATATTTTTGTTCGGTTTATACTGATTGCTTTTTATGTTACAAAGACAGTGTCGTTTTTTCTTCCGCGGGTTTTATTGTCTGATAGCTATGCGGGAGTTTATCTGGTACTTGGTTCTCAAGGTGGTCGATGACAACCCTTCATTGGGCATCTTTTTGCGTGGTTTTTAGCTGTATAGACCTGTTTTCTACCTTGGTTTCTTCTTTTCTTGTTTGTAGTAGCGATTCTATTTACCTGCAAATAGGTGCCTAAATTTTTTTCCTTTGGATTGACATTTGAGGTGTTACCAAAAGCGCTTTCTATATCTCGAGGAAGGCATGGAGAAAAAAATTTTCATAGTTAAAAGCGCTTTGTATTTTAGTGGCTAGTTTTCACAGAGCTGTCTGTAAAAATCTTCGTACCCTGTAGGCAAGTTGACAATAGTGTACTGCGAGTTCACAGTTTTTGACTTGATTTCATTGCCAATATTTTTTCTCCGTAGCGTTTAGCTCAAAAGATTTTGCTAAAGAGTAAATCCATCTTCCTATCTTGGTTATAAATGTTATTCCAGCACTCCTCCACATTGCTGGGATATAGGCCAAGGCTGGATCATCCCACATTATCTCTGCTAGGTGAGAAATAACTAGATCCTTGCCCTTTTGTAATAAAGGCAAATAAATTCAACCAAAGCCAAAGCCCATCCGAACCTGTCCCGCGAGTACATTCTAGCTAGTGTAGCAGTCCCGCTTCGCTTTCCTAACCGCTTTATTGTATGCAGTAATTATCTTGGCTATATTAAATTTCGTTCGCTCGCTTTTCCGGACTGCTGCAGCTGGTATTAAAAGAAAAAGGGATAATAAGAGACAACAGTCGGCATCTGCACTTCAGTTTTAAAAAAGCAACTTCTTTGATCAAATTAAACACAGTTAAAGAGTTCATTAATTAAAAAAGAGCAGAAAACACTTCAACCATACAAAAAAAAGGTGCTTTCGAGTTACTTCCCAAATATGCATATTTTTGGATTCGCCTGTGATTAATTTTTCCACAAGAACACACTTACATCCATATAAAAATAAATATTCACACACGCATGTGTGGCGGTATTCCTGGAAGTGTCACTATCACTGTAGTAGTGCGATGTTCACTTTCCTGACACATTTGACAGCCATAATTGAATACAACACAAATGCGATAGAGTGCTTGTGCATGCGTGTCGTCGTGTGTGTGCGTGCGGCCAACTGCGTCTGTAAGTGACAAATTACAAGGTTTTGCTTTTGAGTTCTTCTTGCTTGGCCCCGAAGGGATTTCGTTCGTCAGAAGAGAACCCTTTCAATAAAGTGTTTGTATATAAATTTTGCAATTCAATTGATTTGATTGTATGTTCGCATTTGTGCATGTAAGTTCTATGGTTTATCTAATGGCGTTTTCTTTTCTACCGAAAAATATTGGCTTCTTGGTGCCTTGTACGCACAAATAGGTACCAAAGAGGGAGCAATGAGGAGGCAATATTTTTTGTAGAAAAGAGAATGCATGTATTTGTTTTCAACGCCATCATCGCATTTTTTTGTCACTCAGAGGATTTCAAAGTATTGTTTTCTCCTCATCGAAATGGGCGCGACTGGGTCACATATTGAATTCGTAAATCAGTTCAAGAGTTGAGCTAAACTTATATAAAAGAGAACCTACCAATAACGTGCTTACTATGATAAATGAATGCTTCCATGTTAACTGGCAGTTTATGCTTGCGCTGGCAATGGAATATGTAAATAAAAAACAACGCAAATATACCCATTGGAATATAATAAAATCGCAGCTGCTATTAACTTATGTAAATGCCCAAATGTTACCACCATTCAAAATATGTATCACATATCATTATTTATCTATGAAATTGACATGACCTAGATACTGTCATAAAATGAA